CTTTAGTTAGATATTGTATCGGTGTACTGAGATCAACTCAAGTCTTTAGTTAGATATTGTATCGGTGTACTGAGGTCAAGTCGTTTTGACTTTGATGTCATATTAGTGGAATAAAGTCGTTTCGAGATTCTAAAGCTTGAGGCAGAACTTATAATGAATTAAAGAAGAACAAAGGTAGGGTCACTTTTACACTTGTAATGTATAAGATGACATCTGTAAATTTCGTTTTCTGCATGTTATTATCTTTGAATTTAGTGGAAAATGATTTAATTTACATCGTATTTTAAGTGATATGTTCTTACAGTATATATAACAAAGCAAAATGTCATTCTCAATATTCACGAGGAAACGTTATTGTCGTAAAAAAAATCAATCTGTTCTTTTTAAATTATTGCACATAATTAAATAAATGTAATTGTTTAAATAATGAAGATTTATGGCAGATGTTAGAAAATTAGTGTTTCATTAAATAAATGAATAATATAAATATATTTATTTATTCTTCTGCAGGGTATATATGAAACAATCACCCAACAACAAACTGTTTCTTTACGTTAGTACAAGGAAGTTTGTACTCATCGATGGTCAAATGTCACCAATAGATGGCGTTGTAATCATTGACCCAAACTATCACAAACATCGAAAGGTTTACGCTGTTGTAGCCCGAACATTTCGCTATGGCCGAGAAGACCAAGAGATTATGGGCCTCACCTTTTACACCGAAGATATTATGGATATTAAACAGGTTTTTATATATCATACCAAATTCTAAATTATTCAACCAACCTATCTCACTTAAAGTTTCCTAAGTTGTACTATTGACCGAGGTCACTTGGTGCTCTAATACCTAAACTGTCAGGTACAAATTCAGAAAATCCAATTTACGAAATTTACTGAATCACAAAAATACCTCTCCCATGGGTTTGTTCTTTTTTTAGGTCTTAAGATCTTTGACTTATCTCTGAGCCATCGGGAGGCCTGTTCAGTAAGATCAAAATTAACAAACTTAAAAGTGCATAAGAGTTAAGATTATATGATGGAATAATTAGATCTTTCTCATCCGGAGAAAGAGAAAAAGATGATTTTTGATTTCTGGGTTTATTTGCCACGAAGAAGTTTAAAGTTACTCCATACTTCTAGAACTCAATTCTTGCAGAGTTGGAATTCTCTATATAACGAGAATGCACGTGTTTTGTTTTCTTCTTCTTCTAGTACTCTACGAGGAGACAAGTCTTTTAATAGAAAGCACTTACTTGTATATTACAAGCAAAAGCTCTTGGTTTGAATCAAAGTTACAAAACAAATCTGCAAAATAGGTCCCAGAGTTTCATTCTAAGCTACAAAACATTCTGAGTTATTATACAACACCTCTTAATGTTTCATTCTCAGCTACAAAATTGTTCCATTCTAAAATCTTAAACCAAACTAAGACTTTTAATGATTTTTATACAATATGAAAAACAAAACAAATAACGTTTGCATTCAGACGCAATTTGGTGCATTTTCTACAAGATCTGTTCATAATTAGAGCAAATCAAACACCTGCTGTACAGTGCAAACAGAACTTGTATTATCAAGGACCAAGTCTTTAATTAAAATGTGCATACTGTGAGACATTATACAAATAGAATTTGTACACTGGTAGTTTACTCTTTTATATATATTCTAGTATAAAAGATTAATAAATCTTGGACACTTTAACTCGTTATAAATCCAAAATTTAAGTGAATTGTTTTTTAAACATGATCTATTAAAATCAAGGGGAAATTTGGATTGAGCTAAAGGCATCTCTATATCTTGGATATCAACTGATTCTTTTTTATATGTCTAATTGTTTATTACAAACCACTTTACTAATGTTAGACTTATTGAAAGTAAAAATAAATTAATTGGCAGCTACAATTTCTACCACTTTTCGTAGTTTTTTTCTTTAAAACGACAGTAACATTAACTTTACATTCTCTTTAAAATCTTTACATATTTGCCGACCTGTTCTTTTTTTTTAAGCGGATACTCTATTCAGAGCTTCATCTAGATTTCAAGATATTCGTAATAATAAGCGAGTCTTACAATTAAGTATTTTCGTCAGACACTAAGTGTTTTTCTGTATTAGTAGGCTAGCACTTATATACATAATAAAATCACATTCCTAATTATCAAATGAAGTCACTAACTCGAGCGAAGTAACAATTCACTGATTATAATAATACCACAGATTAAGGTTAGTTTGTGACGAGTTTGGCCTAGTGATTAGGGGATCTTGACTTACAACATGCGGGTCGCGGGTTTGAATCCCATGACCTAACGTGCACGCCCTTTCAGCCATGGAAGCGTTATAAAGTGTCGGCCAATCCCACTATTCGATTAAAGTAGCCCAAGGGATGGCGGGTGGTGTTGACTATTTACCTTCCTTCTACTCTATCATTTCAAAATTAGGGACAGCTCGAGTAGCTTTACGCGAGATTTAGTAAACAAACATCATTAGTGATAAATCAAGCGTCACATTTTATTGAAATAAAAATAACTGAAGGTGTCCACAAAGTTAAGTTTCTACTAGGAACCTCTAACTTCTAGCACCGCTAGAAAAACAAACAGTTTTTAATCTTGTAAAGTTTTCTCATCAATACACAGTTTAGGAACGATGTAATTTTAGGCTCTTGTCAAATATAATAACCAGAATTTTGTTTGATTTGAGTTTGAAGTGATTATTATTCCTTCTTTGTCAGGTGTATCCACCAAAAGAACTAGACCAGGAGTTAACGCCTCTACAAGAAAGACTGATAAACAAATTCGGTAAAAATTCGTATCCAGTCACTCTGAAAATACCGCCCCGGGCACTACCTTCGGTGCGATTACAGCTAGCTAAGGTGTACGCAGGGGCTCCACTTGGAGTTTTCTATGAACTTAAGTTATTCACAGGTACATTTTTCAAGTAGTACGTCACTAGTTAATACACCATGTTCCGAAACGTGTTACAGGAGAGTATCCTATAAGTTCCAGCTTTCTAATTGTGTTTCTATGATGTCGTTCAACTCCAGGCTGTCTCTTCACTCGCAGCTAGTACTTTTAAATCGAGCCCTTATTATCCATGCAGATGTAGTCCTCGTAAGCTATACAGTCCTTATCGTCGTAGTGGATATAATCCTAGGAGACAATATAGTCCTTATCGCCCTAGTAGATATAATATCAGCAGACTAGTGGATATAGTAATTGAAAACTGTATAATCCTTATCATCCTAGTAGATATAGGCAATGTAAGTAAAATAGTCCTTATCATCCTAGTAGATATAGTCATCGTGAGCGATATAGTCCTCATCATCCTCGTAGATATACTATCAGCAGACTAGTAGATATAGTAATTGAAAATTGTATCATCTTCATCATCCTAGTAGATATAGTCATTGTAAACTATGTAGTCCTTATCATCCTAGTAGATATAGTCATTGTAAACTATGTAGTCCTTATCATCCTAGTAGATATAGCCATTGTAAACTATATAATCGTTATTGTTCTGATAGATATAGTCATTATTGACTTAGTAGTTATAGCCATTGTAAACTATATAATCGTTATTGTTCTGATAGATATAGTCATTGTAAACTATGTAGTCCTTATCATCCTAGTAGATATAGTCATTGTAAACTATGTAGTCCTTATCATCCTAGTAGATATAGTCATTGTAAACTATGTAGTCCTTATAATCCTAGTAGATATAGTCATTGTAAACTATGTAGTCCTTATAATCCTAGTAGATATACTCATTGTAAACTATGTAGTCCTTATCATCCTAGTAGATATAGCCATTGTAAACTATGTAGTCCTTATCATCCTAGTAGATATAGTCATTGTAAACTATGTAGTCCTTATCATCCTAGTAGATATAGTCATTGTAAACTATGTAGTCCTTATCATCCTAGTAGATATAGTCATTGTAAACTATGTAGTCCTTATCATCCTAGTAGATATAGTCATTGCAAACTATGTAGTCCTTATCATCCTAGTAGATATAGCCATTGTAAACTATATAATCGTTATTGTTCTGATAGATATAGTCATTATTGACTTAGTAGTTATAGCCATTGTAAACTATATAATCGTTATTGTTCTGATAGATAGTCATTATAAACAATATAGTCCTTATTGACTTAGTGGATATAGTCATTATAAACAATATAGTCCTTATTGACTTAGTTGATATAGTCATTATAAACAATATAGTCCTTATTGACTTAGTGGATATAGTCATTATAAACAATATAGTCCTTGTTGGCTTAGTGGATATAGTCATTATAAACAATATAGTCCTTGTTGGCTTAGTAGATATAGTCATTGTAAACTACATAATCCTTGTTGTCCTGATAGATATAGTCCTTATTGACTTAATGGATGTAGCCATTGTAAACTATATAATCCTTGTTGTCCTGATAGATATAGTCATTGTAAAGGATATAGTCCTTATTGACTTAGTGGATATAGTCATTATAAGCGATATAGTCCTGGTAAAAACCTTTTGAACTTCCACCTAACTATTCTTCTAGTATAAACAATGCATTCTATTTATGTTCTTGACAATGTTGTTCTCTCGCAGCTTCTGAACCAGAAGAGAAGCCATACAGGAGGAGCACTGTTCGAATGGCACTTCGATGTGTTCATTGCATTCCTGTCCAGTCATTCAACTCACTTGCGCCACCCAGCGCCTCACTTTGTAAAACTTTTATTCTGAGCCAGGGTAAACTCGTGCTCGACGTTATCTTAGACCGGGACGTTTATCACCATGGAGACATTATGCACGTGCATGTGACAATTGATAACAACAGCAACAAGACTGTTAAAAAAATTAAAGTCTACGTCATACAGCACGTGCATATTCGCATGTTTACGAAGGGTTATTTCAAAAATCTCGTCAGTTTTGCTGAAACAAAAAATGGACTTCCTATTTTGCCTGGAGTCAGCTTATCACGTGACTTCTTCTTTAAACTGACAAGTTTTTTCAAGTATCCAGTTGCTATTGCAGTGGAAGGTGAAAACGATGACGTCACAATTCTGGCCTCGAGCTCTTTAAATTCTCCACAGAAAGAAGATAATACCTATGGAATAACAGTAATATACACGATCAAAGTTAAGGCTGTTCTTGGTTTTATGGACCGGCCTGTTGTTGTTCGCATTCCCTTTCGGATTTGCAACTATATAGCAGGAAAAAATGGTACCATAAGTTCGAGCCTCAAGCACCAGACGGCGTTCAGTAAGGAATTGGATGATGATGATGATGAGAATGTTTCTAGTCAAATTTTTTTCCAAGAATAAAACGAACATTTAATTATTCATTATGAGCTAATAGTAAGGCGTTGCTCTTGTTCCTTCTAACAAAACATGATTATCCAGTACTATTAATTAAACCTAAAGTCGAAAACTGTGATTTTAAGCCATTTCGATTTTCCTTTCAGTAAAACAGCACGTACATATTCTTGGATAAAATATTACATCCACAATGGTTAAGTTAACGGAAGGAGTTAGTATTCCCACAAGATTTATTAGATGTACAGTAAAATTTTTATTTTGTCACAACCTTTCACCAAGTTTACCTGGCATCATCAAAGAACTGAGACTAGCAGAAACTGATTTAAAATTAGAGAATCATGTGAGTATCCATAACAATAATAATCTACAAAATATGTGATTCAGCAATGGCATGATTAATAAATTATTTATCAATGATCTATCAAATATATAAATAAAAAATATGCTTTAAGGCCTGAGTCTAAATATTTTTTTAATATACAAGAAATAGAGATTAAAGTAGACATAAATGAACACATTTGTATTTGTTAAGAACATGCTTTTTTATTAACAGGGTTTTTTTTATGTTTCGTCTGTTAATGTCAGCTTCTCTGCTGTAGATTGTTTTCTCAGAAGAATCAAAAGAATGATCGTTCCGAGATGTGTTCAAATGTGTACAACCGATAAATCTTGTCTGAAAACAAACAAAAACAGGACTTTTCTAATATTTAATTACAAAGTAATACAATGGGCTATCTGGGTTGTGCTCATCATAAGTATCAAAACCCGGTTTTTAGCAGTGTGAGCCCTCAGACTTAACGCTGAGCCACTGGGGGAGAGTCAATAGTCCAAAAATGTAAAATCAATCGTTGTAATATATTTTTATCAATGAAAATAATAAGTAATTACTACAACACATGTAGTATTTTGATGCGTGTCTGTGTATTACATCTCGTAATTTAACTGACTTTTTCACTCATTAAGAAAAAGAGGGGGAGGGCGCAAGAAAGCATATTTATTAAAGGGGTCGTGTATGACAAAAGTTTGGGAAAGATTGGGTTAACCAATAGATGAAAACTGATTGCCATGGGAAAACGATATATATATATATATACAGTGACTAGCTAACAAAAAAAAATAAATTTTTGTTTTATTTCTGCAGCCCTGTACGCGCAATATTCATCTTTTATCACTCTTCTCGTTCAAAAGCAATATAATAATCTTTTGCCTATCTGCTCCTTTGGTAATAGTTTTCTAACTTTCTAATCCTCTTCATCATTAGAAAACGAATTCAAAAATTTAATCCGCTACTCTTTTGGAAATAGCACACGTGTCTTTTGAATGCAAACAGCCTTTCTAAAAATTCCCTGAAGACTACATAAGATTAGCAGCCTAATTAGTATTTAGCAAACTAATTAGTATTTAGTAAAAGAAAAAGGTAGCTAGTCAATGATTATACTTAGATGATCGTATAGGCTACTAATCACCAGAACGGAGGGGATGGGGGGCTGGAGGCATGGGCCTACGAGTTTGAGGGGGCTTACTTCCGAATACAGAATAAACATGAATGCACTATTGTATTTACTGCTTCTTATTACAGTACTGTACTCTACTGTCTTATATACATTTTGGATAAAATTGCTTGCCATTACCTTTTTTATAAATCGTTCTAGTTCTTTTATTCGTTTCTGTTACTTGTAAGTACATCACGTACTCTACATGTACATGTATATACCCATACATAAATCGTAAGTATTTAGCACTGATTACAAAAATACTTAATGAGCAGTTTGAAATGGGGCCTACATTTCCCATCTGGTCTGGGCCTATTACCAGCTTTGCACGGGCCTGCTAATCATGACAATGATTAATAGCCGATCGCCTCAACCTTACCGTAAATACAATTATTTCCTACTTAGGCCTCTTTATCTACTTCGATGTCTAACTCTAAGCCTTTTTAGCCTCAACTACAGTAAGTACAATTATTTCCTACTTAGGCCTTTTTATCAATACCGGTGTCTAACTCTATGCCTTTTTCGCCTCAACATTACCAAAGTACAGTTATTTCCTACTTAGGCCTATTTATATATGCTGGTGTCTAAACCTGTTCACCTACAAGGATATTGTGGTGCTTAACGTACAATGCTATGTCAAAATCAAATGAAAGATTGTGTTGTTTTATAAAATAATTATCATTATTTTGTTGTATTAGTATTGAAAATATTGATAATTTCGTTTTCTTTTATTTCTATTGTCGGTTTTAAACAGATTTTTCGACAAGGTAAACTTATCAAAAATTACATTTAAAAAATAAACAAACAAAAACAACTCGAAACAATAAACAGGAATGTAATTTTTGACGGGAAACATCAAGAAGGTAACATTAGTCAAACTATTTAGTAAAAGATCTTCTTTACATAAGTAAAACATCTGTAAAGAGCATTTTAAACTCTTTCACGTTTCCTTTGTTTTAACTACAATTTTGTTTTTATTTATATCGTTAAATGTCTTTTTTGAAATAATGTAATTTAATGTTTAAATCCTAATGGGTTGACTAACGTTATGTCTTATATCTATTTGGATAAGTATAATGGTTAAAATTAACCTAAATATGGTCAGCTTTATTAATTTTTTTACCAAAAACACCAAGAACATACCTAACAAAAATATGAAATAACACTTCGTTTCTAATGGTCAAGGGTTTGTAACTAAATAAGAAGGTTCTTCTTGAACAGTGTTACAACTTACACGTTTACAATAATTTTTTTCTTGAGATTTGTTACATACTGTTTGCAGTTATTTTTTTTTTTTTTACTTTTAAAATTTCATTGGTAGGATGAGTTGCAAATTTTCGTTTTTGTGTTACAAGCAATTAATATTACAGCATTAAAAAATCCATGATGTCTGAAAAAACACGTATATTCAATAAGTCTTGATATAAAACCCTATAAACCGAGCACTTTCAAAAGTTGGACCCTTCTTCTTCAGGGGCAAACTGGGAATGGTGGCGTAATGGAAGGAGTGATATATATAAAGGGAGTTGAGTGACGTCATGAAGGTCATCTGGTCTTACAGGAAATGTTTAGCACATTTTTCCATATACTGTTGTGTGTTTAATTTCTGGTACAATGTGGCCGGTGACGAGAGCGTTATGTAAAAAGGTGTTAGGGATATTTTGCTTTAGAAATGGTTAAAAAAGAAATAAATAAAACTTACTTAAGTATCTAAGTAAAATAAAGGTGACACCTGGAGACTGATTGAAAAAGGGGTATGAAAAATTTGGTTCACATTACATGAAAGAAATAAGCAAAGGATAAAAATTATATTTCTGACAAAGATTTAACCAATGATCGGAGATCACTGATTCCAGGATCTAGACTGAATCCAAGAGGTCAAACATTGTTTAGATTAACTATCCAATAAGCTTCTTTTATCTCTCTATCAGCTTTAGTTTTGAATCCTCTTTCAATGCCGATGAGAGTTACATCGTTAACCGAATGACCGGGTTGGTTAAAATATTGAGCAACAGAGAGATCTTTTTCGGTTTTAATAAAACATTTATGGTTGTTGAAACGTTCTCTAAGAGTTGTTTATGTATGTTCTACAAATTGATGATTGCATTTTTTACACCGTATAAGGTAAATGGTGTTTTGAGTTGTGCTCGTTAGAAAATGAGTCAATAGTTTTTATGAACTTGCAGGTTTAACAACGAGTTTTATTGCATGGATGACAACCATTTTTTGGTGGGATGTAATTTACTCTTGTGTGAACAAAGATGTCTCTTAAAGTTCTGCTTTTTCGGAGACAACGGGAACTTCACGAAATATCTGTTTAAGGCGATCGTTAAGTTGTAGGAGATAAAAATGTTTTTTTTTCTTTTCAGAATTTGTGAAATGTTTCAGAGTTTAAAAGAGATGGGTAATAATAATAATAAGAGGAATTTTATTTGAAACTTTAGTATTACTCTGTTTTAGGATGTTTTTTTTCGCTAAATGTTGTTTTGGACTTTTCGCTCTGACTGTCGATTTCGTTATCTTTATATTCTCTTTGAAACCTGGTTTGTTTTCTGTAGTCTGTTTCATCTGAACATATTTTCTTTATTCTGAGAGCTTGACTGTAGGTAATGTTCTATTTAATGTGATGACAGCTTTTATAGTGAAGGTATTGTGGTCTGTCTGTAGGTTCTTTGTACAAGTTGGTGTGTAAAATTCCGTCATTTGTAAAGACGGTGACGTTAAGAAAGTTAATTTGGGTTAATTAAGAAAGTTAATCAAGGAATTTTGATTGTTTTGTGAAAGGAGTTTGTATACGAGATAAATTCTTTAAGTGGTTCAAGACCGGCTGTTCAAATGTCATCTATGTAACGTTTCATGCATGATGTTTTACATGGCTTAGTTGTAAAAGCTGGCTTTCAATATGATACATAAAAAGTTTGGCATAACTGGGAGCCATTTTGGTACCAATTGCAGTACCGTTAACCTGAAGGTATTGTTCGTTATTGAATTCGAAGTTCTTCAGAGTTAAAACAAGGCTGACAAGATCAGTTACTGCTTGAGATTCTGGTGGGTTAGAAAGGTTTAATGCGGACTTTAGAGTTTCGAGTCCTTCATCATGTGTTCCCCGGTGAGACAACGGTAAATCTTTGGATTTACAATGTTAAAATCATGGGTTTGATTCCCCCTCGGTGGACTCAGCAGATAGCCCAATACGGCTTTGTTATAAGCAAACATACCGTATTTTTCGGTGTATAAGACCCAAAATTTGATGTCAAAATCTGCTTGCGTCCTATACACCGAAGGTATGAATAATATATATGTATATATACGATATACACCAGCCATGTGTAAATATATTTAAATAGACATGCATAGCTTAGTTCAATTGATTGTGTTATTTATAACAATAGTAATTTTTTAATTTTAAAAACATAACTATTTGTAATGCTCCCTAAATAATAATAAAAAATTACAGTGAAAGCAATGAAGGTTTTGAACC